TTTTTTTTTTTTTTTTGCTTAAGTAATAAAAGTAATGGTGTTCAACCATTCATTTTAATTGTATAAATCACAATGTGCACAATCTGAATTATTCCATTTAGCTTCAGGAGGGGAGGAGGAGAGGGAGGAATTCACTTCTATTGATAAACACAAGCCATCTTTCCTCTGTGAAAAGGAAAGACAGCTGAGTGTTTTATGGCACTCTCCATTGTGATGTAGTGGTTTGAATGTTGGACTATGACTCTGGAGATCAAGGTTCAATTCCCACTGGAGCATAATACCCACTGAGTGACCTTGGGCAAGTCACATTCTCTTAGCACAGAGGATGGCAATGGTAAACTCCCTCTGAAGAAATTTGGTAAGAAAACCCTATGATAGGTTCACCTTAGGGTCATCATAAATCAAAAATGACTTGGAGGCATACAACAACAAAACCAATGACCATGAAAAGATCCATTATGGTTTCAAATCATAAAAGAGTATGTATGCTTGTGTGTTTCACTTGCACCTGACATCGTACATAAGCATACAGAGCTACAGTAGAATCACCTAGATAACTTGATATTTCCCATTTTAATTATGGGCCTCCACAGATGGCCCATTTTGGGCAGCTCTGGGCCACCCTTGCTTGTGGTGGGTCAGGGCCATGGCAACCCCACTCCATGGCCCCGATCCTACTTTTGCTTCCCCCCAAAGAGTGACAAAATGCCATTCCTTTTAGGGGCAGCAAAAGGCCACCCTAAGAGCCAGCACCATGGCTCTTCTGCACTCTTTCCGTGCAGTGTGTATACATGCTGTGCCAGGAGGGCATCCTGATGCTGCGCGCCATGCAAATGGGCGCATGGCATCAGGATGGCGTTGGGATGGAGTTGGGGTGACCAACGTGTGGCTGTCCCACCCCAACTCCACCCCCAGGCCAGCCCTTTGGGCCAGTCTGCAAAGCCCCTATGTTTCATTCATTCATTCATTCATTCATTTATCCTTTATTAGGCATACAACAATAAAATTTACCATAAAATTTACAATAAAGTAAAATAAATAAAATACATTTACAATAAAACTTCAGGATCATTATTATAAAATTTAAGCCATAGTCTTGTTGTCTCCACCAGAAAATTGGCCATTAGCCTAGTAATATATGGATTCAGATCTTCCAATAAGTATTCCACTGATAACCCATCCAAACAGATATTCATTTCCAATAACCTCCTTAGCAATTTCCCCCTAGGAATTATATACAATGGACAAAGGAATACAATATGATGGAGAACATAGGGAACTTGATCACAGTGGCATATACGTTTCAAAAAAGGGATCTGTAGATATCTGCCCTGGTCACATTTGTACATTCAGCCTTGCAAATAAAAAGGCCTTCCTCAACACCAGCAATGAAAGGGTTTGAAAATAATATGGAATCCTACCCTGCAAGGGGGGGGGGGGGAATACCAAACATCGCTGGAGAACACACCCTAGGAGGTGTTGGATGTGACGGTTGATAATCTCTCTCTGTAAGGCAGACCCTGATAGATTCAGTTAATAAAAGGAGAGAATCAAAATTTAAACCCATAGAAATTACTTTACTTTTATAAAATTTAGCCCATCTAGCATAATGAACATCAGATAGTAGGAACCATAAAAGACTAGATCTATGTATCTTAAACCAAAACCTATAAGTCATCAACCAGGCTTTAGTTTCAAGAGCATTCAATCCCAGTTCTGCATACAGTGTCAGATGGTGTACACATGGGGGTACAGATAATCTCCAGAAAAAAAGTCCCTGCATACATTCAGTCTCCTTATTAAAGGCCCCTATGTTAGTCTCAGTCAAGACAATTTGAATTACTCCATTAGGCTGAAGGATGAGAGGGGAGAGGGAATTCCATTGTAAAGATAAACACAGGTCATCCTTCCCTGTTAGATACTGTGAACAGAGCTTTATGGTTCACACTGCTAGTTGCAAGAGGAGTTAGAGATGGAAAGGTGAGTGTTTATAGCTCTTTTTCTTTGGGAATTTGTCAGGAATGGTTCACTTCTCTGTGTGGTGACCAAGTTTAAATATCAGAGTTTCCACAGTGGAGCAAGAGGAGTAATAAAATTTCCCACCCCGTTCAGAGATGGGAAGAATTCAGACAGACATTTACATCACTAGTTCCCACCTCAGGAGTAAGTGAACATACAACAACAAAGCAGCAATATTATTGTTTTGCTCCCATAGAATGGTCAAGGGATATCTATGCACTGAGGCTGTGATTGCTGCTTTTTCTGCTGCTCTGTGTGACATCTTTCTCCCCTTCTTTTTTTTTTTTTATATCTAATGGCCAAAAGTACTTCTTGTACTGGCTTTGGCAAATCTTATAGTCTAGCACCAAAATCACTCTCATTTAATAAAAGTGTTCTTATAAATTCACTCATTCACCTCAAAGCATAAAAAGTCTTGAAATTATAAGTTAAGGCATGCATGTTAACTTCCCAGGCCACATAAGCAGGAAAGACATTCTATCATGGATGAGGCAATTTTTTGGCCCTCCAGATGTTGAATTCAAATGCGAGTCATCCAATTACTATTAGCTGTGCTGGTTCCAGTTTATGGGAGATTGAGTCCACCAGTGTCTGGAGGGCCACATGTTGCCTGTATATGTCTTATAGTTGTTATTGACATGTTTGCTTGCAAATCAGTTTACCTGTACCCTTCCCATCTAGTACCTAGAAGTAATTTCCACTGAGTCGTATTTCTGACTAGATGTAGGACTGTGCATATTGCAAAAACATTTTTCTGTGTCTACATACTTTGTTAAATCCCCTTTCCTCAGCTTTATGCAGTCAGCTCTATTGACAGTCCAATGGGTTCTCAAAACCACTTTAGCCTGATATGACATAAATCAACACTAATTTAGTTTTGGGAGGCAAAGTATTTGATAGAACTGAAAGCACAATTTTTCTACTTAGTTATATACACAAGAGGAATATAGGGCTTTGCAATATAGGGCTTTAAAAAGAACTTAATTAGAATGGGATAAGTGATTATAACCTTTAAGTTAAATTGCAAACAGGAAATGAAGATGACACAGACCTAGAGGTGTGAATTCAAACATGGTGACTAGGATGATATGAACAAGAAGGTGTGAAACCAGATCTAGTTATTAGTCATCCCTAATTATGGTTAAAGATGATCACAAAATAGAGCAAGTTCTGAAAATCCATGTATCGCTGACTAAATTTGAGCAATAGCAGGAGGACAAAACGGAAAAAGAAAGAGTGAAATCAACATGAGTAAAAGGCATGGTAGCCAATGGCATGCTTAGTTTATTGTAGCTGAACTCCTGCTGGTATACTAAGCTAGCATAACTATATGTGACAATAGTACAGTGCAATTTTTGCATGGTTCCACAATGCCACAAGGGAAGGCAGGCAAAGTTGTCTCTGCTGTCATCAGCAGCCAGCTCCAAACAGACTGTTTGTCTAACACCTGATTTCAGGGTTGATCCTCAAGTGCAGGATATTCTGAGAAGACTGCCTGGACAAACTGCCTGTGCCAAAATTTTGAAAGAGATAGCTTTGTATTTCTTTGTCTCCAGTGACTTTGGGGAAAAAAAGTAATGTCGTGGAGTTCACAACATTTTCCAAAATAGTTGCCAGAATTAAATTTATGTTCACTACTAGCAACTCATAACTATAGTTGCAAACTTCTGCTGGACTCAATCCTTGATCCATCAAGCCCATCTACTCAAACGTTTTACTCCTTTACATCTACATGTGGACATCATGCCCCCCTCCAGGCACAGTATATAAATAAAAACATTGTGTTTATTTAGCATGTTTGTTTATTTGCCCATTCATGTATATTCATATTTTAACATTTTATATGGAAATAACATTATTCAAATTAGAACAGTTTTGTTTAAGAAAATTCAACATTTAACTCAACGCATATGTAAAGTTTACACATAAAAACAATTGGAAGAGGAAGAGAAGAAGGAGGAGGGTTCAGAGCCTCCAAGTCTTATGCTCCCTTGAGCAACTCTTGGACACCCTCCAAGGTCCCACCTCATCATTTGAGAACCAGTGAATTAGCCAGTATCATCTACTCTTATTAGAAAAGTCGTTTAAAAAGTTTCAGCACAACTCTTCCCCAATCTTCCCACATTTTTATAATTGGACATAGTAAAAATTCACTTTTTGACTTTCATGATGCAATGCAAATATACAAAGAGCAGGCTGTGGCTCTTCCAGTAGCAGATGGGAAAAGTGGTGGGAAGAGTGGAACTGAGATGGAACCAGATGCCTCATCAGTTCATGAAACTGAACAATCCACAAGTACATCCATGGAGAACTCTGTTGCATCACACGTATTCACTGCAAGATGTAAGAGGAATGTCTCTATTGTGCATGCTGATGTTTAAATATCAAACATGAAGCAACCCTAAAAAAAGACCAGTAAGATCCAACAAAGCTTTCCATAGAAGCATAGATGGAAAAGCCTCACCACTGGATTCCCTAGTTATTGGATGCATCTATTCCAGTTTCTCCGCCACCATTCTTAGAATTCTGACACAGGAAGAAGAGAGAGAGATGGGCTTTGGAACCATATACCACTCAGATAAGCATGGCCAGGTTTAATTAATATTTGGATGGGAGACCACCAGAAATCTCCACATAGAACTAAGAATGAGGCCGGAAACCTGGAAAGCCATGACAAAGTCAGAGTTGAAAATACTGGGCCAGATAGACCAGTGGTCTGACTCAATACAAGCTAGCTTCCTATATCTCTTTGCACATAAAAATCACCCCACTCCATCTTGCTTCCATTTGTCCCGTTCTGCCTCGTCTGATAACTAAATTCGAATTTAAAAGGGAGTTAATTCGAACGAAAACCTGATCTTTTCATTTTCGGGATTTTTGAGGATTTAAAAAGATCAGGTTTTTGTTCGAATTAACCCCCTTTTAAATTCGAATTTAGTTATCAGATGAGGCGGAACGGGACAAATCCTGTAAATTAAAGACGTCCGCTCATCCAGTTTATTTCCACTTTCTCCCTGCAACTCCCCGTGTGATAACGTCCCTTGTCTGGGCAAGCCTCCTCCAGGTAGGAAATGACACTCTCTGTATCATGTGCAGAGATCAGGACAAGATAAAAGTAGTGCTGTTACTTGTAACCAGTTAATTTTTGGAGAGTGATGAGAGTGAAACAAAGCCACATGTCAAAAATGACACAACAAATGAGAATAAAGCCATTCCAGAGGTGTACTGAGTACTGTAATGGTTTCTAATTACTT